TATGTCAGGCTACACTTAACAATACAAAAAAACAAAAAAACAAGATGGTTTAATAATTTGCATTTTATGATTTTTTTTATTTGTATTTTTTTTAATTGATCGACATTTAACAAATGCTCAACAAAATTTGACAAAACTTGACAACCGCAGTGATTGCTTTTGATAGTGCAATCCATGTATACTGACCGAGAAGTTTGTAATAACAATATTACAGCCCTAGTACAAACATTTGTGTATCCACACATCTCCCATAATACCGGTAATCTCCTGCACTCAGATACAGAAGACCATAGTGGTCAGTAATATATACTTTACGTTTTAACCTACTATTATCACAGAAGTTTGTTCAGTCATTGAATAATAGTTCTGAAAATAAACCTATGATAAAGCATGGGAGTATGTTTCTCATAATCTGTTTATTTCAGACCCCATGGATAGGCAACAGTTCTGCGATGTCATAATGTGGTGATAGGGATTTTTAACATCTCCACTGTAGATATACCCTTGTTATGCAAATTTTCTGTGAGTTCAATTAGTGACTGAAAACTTCATGCACAATATATACACTGTGTATAATGTTCAATATTAGGTTAAGCATACATTTTTGTATCGGTGTCTGCTCAGAATACAAATTAACAATTAATTACCTTCCCAGTTCTTCTCTCACTTCGTAATGGTCTTCAATTTTCTCTTTTCTCTTTAACTTTATTTTTTTTGTCTTGCCCTCTTCTTCCGAACTTGTGTCTAAAATTGTGATATCAAAATTATGATTTATTAATCATCTTTGTTACAGGGCAGGGCATACAGTTTATTCACTTAATCTTGGGGCTAATATAAATAAGGATTCTAACTAAACAGAGGTCTGATAAGTTTGTATACAATACAAACAATGACATGAGTCCCTGTGCTGTACTGCCAATATATTTGCTCAATACAATGTTTAGTTGCCATACAGTTTTCAGAAATTAGTGGCATTGTAATGAACATACATCAAGCTCACAACCCAATGGTATGATGTCATCAGTCACATGACTTGACAAAAGTAACCACGAAACAAGTTATAAATATTTCAACGAGGAAAAATATCTGATATAAACAGGTAGCAAATAATTGTCTTTTTCACACTGACTATTTTTTTAGGGAAGTATACTGTAAAATACTTTATTTTAGCTGGAATTAATATTCGCTGAATAGACTTTTGAAGTGTTTCATATGGATTTTATTTTCACTGATTTTTGATGAGTTAAATGTAAAATATAGTAAAAAAAGTATATTCGCTGGATTTTATTTTCAATGAATTATTCCTTCAGCAAAAATAGCAAAAATTAATTCCAAGCGAAAGTAAAGTATTCCACAGTATGTACATTTGTAGTTGTTTCTATATATGTACCATGCTATAGTAAAGCGTGGCAATGCAATGCAAGGCAAGGCAAAATATCACAATCAGGATAGAAACAATCTCCATCTTGATACATCTCTCAATTGTGATTGGTGTATACCACGATCAGGATATATTGTTCAACAGTTAGTCCTGACTGATAGAAGGCAAACTGACAATCATCAGAAAAAGACTTACCTTCTATCAGCACAAAACAAATGCAAGAAGCCTCGTTGACAATATTTTTAGCGGTTATCTTATATTCCCCAGTGTCATCTAAAGAGGCTTTGTTGAACGATAAACCACATGTATCATCTCCTTCAAAGTACACTTGAATATTATCAGTTTCCGCAACGAATATATCATCTTTATACCAGAATATATCAGGTTCTGGGATACCACCAACTTTACATTGTATACAGAATGACTGACCAACTTTTATCGTGATATCTTCCAATTCAGTGAGAAATTTAGGAGGCTCTGGAAATAGAAAGTGATATGGAAATAATTTCAATGTAACTATTTTTACATTTGACATACAGTTGGTTCTTTCTAATGATGCTATAAAGGGTGATGGACTTCGCGCCACGCATGCACGAGATATATGGGTCTCACATAAACAAAGATGGCGACTTTGACGAGTACAAACTGAGATGTTACCAAGCTTTAATTATGTATATTTTAATTAATTGGAAAGTATCGAAGGAGGTTAGGTCAGATCTCGTACTTGTGATTTTCATTAGAAGAACGCATTGGATTGTGGGTAAATCAATGTATATCAACACAAATGTCGCACATGCGCAGCACGACAATCACCGCACTTTAAACAAAGTGAATACAAAATGTCATGATTTTCACAAACTCACAAAATTCAGAAACGTGTGACTCTCACAAAATTAAAGCTTTCAAAGTTGACAGTAATTCGTGAGAAAATGTGAATAACCACCGACTGAGCAAAAATGAACAAGCGACCTTATTAAAGCAGGGGAGTAGTCATCTCCGCATGCGTCAGATGGTCATAGCAAGTCATTATTTACAAACAAGCATCTGCCCATGAGCCTTTGCGTTTTTAGCGTGTGTTGTTATCGTCGCTTGGGACTCGATTCCCGCGCGTGCGCAGGTGACGATCCTCCCGCTTTAAGATAATCAAGTATTATTGTTGACAAACCCTTGAATGATACAAAAAGAAGAGAGAAAAGCTACACAGATTACCAAACACACCATCTTGTAAATATTAAAACACTACTTACCTGCAAGATCTAAAAAGACAGCAATCCTGGCATTTCCAAAATCGTTAGTCGCCACACATTCATAATCGCCAATATCATCAGCTGTCACATCCTGTATTTGCAAGCTGCACACACCACTTACACTGACATTTTGTTGATATCTTCCATCAGTAGGAATAACATGACCATCTCTCATCCATGCTATTTCAGGTGTTGGATCAACACTCACACTACAGAGCAATGTTGCAGTGTGTTCAGGCTGTACATAGACTTCCTCCGGTGTTCCAATAAAACATGGTGCCCCTTCAATTGATGACACTAAAAAGATGCACAATTTATATCATTTATACAGTTCACCATGTCAATGACAAAAGAGTTTGATACCAAGCCCAGTACAAAATTACCTGGAACCAAAAATGTACAGTGTTCCAAGTGTGCAACTAGAGCGAAGACTGAACATTTTTTACAGTTCCAGAAAAAAAATATTCATTCACATCAATTCATCAGTGAGAATGCAAATTTTCATCCTTCATTGGTAGGCATCATAATTTCATCAGAGGCCAGAATCCAAATTGTCATCACTTTATTGGTCAGAATCCAAATTGTCATCACTTTATTGGCCAGAATCCAAATTCTCACCTCATTGGTCAGAATCCAAATTCTCATCACTTTATTGGCCAGAATCCAAATTCTCACCTCATTGGTCAGAATCCAAATTCTCATCACTAATTGGTCAGAATCCAAATTCTCATCACTTCATCGGTCAGAATCCAAATTCTCACCTCATTGGTCAGAATCCAAATTCTCATCACTAATTGGTCAGAATCCAAATTCTCTTCACTTTATTGGTCAGAATCCAAATTCTCATCACTTTATTGGCCAGAATCCAAATTCTCATCACTAATTGGTCAGAATCCAAATTCTCATCACTTTATTGGTCAGAATCCAAACTCTCATCACTTTATTGGCCAGAATCCAAATTCTCACCTCATTGGTCAGAATCCAAATTCTCATCACTAATTGGTCAGAATCCAAATTCTCATCACTTTATTGGCCAGAATCCAAAATTCTCACTTTATTGATCAGAATCCAAATTCTCACTTTATTTTGCAAGATTCGCTTCAAAGATAAGATCAAGTTCATTTCATGATAGCTTCTATATGATGATCTGACTTACTTTGTTTCTGTTTCAATAAATCTCTTCTTGTAGATTCATCTACAAATGAAGAATGTACATACTGTAAATGTAGAGCTCATTTCCATGAAAACAAATAAAGACTCCAATAATCATAGCAAACAAAAAACTTTCAATGCAGTTCTGTAATGACTATAGTAGAAAGCTTGTTGTATACTTGACTTGCAACCTAGATTTACGTAATGTCAACAAATGCCAGGAAAAAAACCAACATTTGATGTCAAGCGAAGCCAGTAGGCTGACACAAAAATATTTTTTAAAAAAAGAGTTAGAAAACTTACCTAATGGATGTGTGACAATAACTTGGGACACCTGACTAGCTTCACTGACACCAAAGGTGTTCTCTGCTCTCACTTGGAATTCATACTCTGTAGATGGTAAGAGATTCTCCACAAACAGCTCTGTTTCTGAAATACCAGCACCAACACAGAACCATTCATTACCCGGTAACTCTCGAAGTTCTACTATGTAAGTAATTGGACTAGCTGCAGCTTCTTGTAGGCAAGCAGGCCACGAGGCGACGACCGTAGATGATGTTACCTCTGAGATTTCTGGTGGTCTCTCTGGAGGTGGTGGAATGCCTGTATAAAATAAAGAACATTTTATATACTGAAGTAGTAACATGTTTGTAACCACTCAGTTTAAGACGTAGCATGAATATGAGTTTAATCATACCACAGATATTACAATCGAAGTACAAAAGAGTTCAGAAATAAATCAAGATCAAATGTAGAGAGGAGTTTAGTTATAACAGAGATCTTCTTTTTTTTGTGACTTTGGATTATGAGAAGGAAGCGAGAATAACATATTTGCTCTATTAGTAGTGAATCCGCTTACATATCCATGGTCAAAATAATATAAACTACAATAAGTAACATTTTACTAACTCAACAGTACACAATACTGTATTTGCTCTATTAGTAGTGCATGCACTTAATAATAATAAACATAGTTGAACTCTGGTGACCTTGCCCTTTGTTATATAATATAATTCCTTTAACATATTTTGTTTCAATATAAATATGCATTGTCATAATTAATTTTGAGTACAAACAAGTTTTGGGGTTGAACCAACAGTGGGGAATCAGTCTACC